AAAAAACTCCTTCCAGTAGCACCTTAAAGACCAACTAAGTTTGTTATATAGGGACGCGGGTGGCGCTGTGGGTAAAAGCTCAGTGCCTAGGACTTGCTGATCGTAAGGTCGGCAGTTCAAATCCCCGTGACGGGGTGAGCTCCCGTCATTCGGTCCCAGCTCCTGCCCACCTAGCAGTTCGAAAGCACCCCTAAGTACAAGTAGATAAATAGGTACCGCTTTATAGCGGGAAGATAAACGGCGTTTCCGTGTGCGGCACTGGTGCTGGCTCACCAGTGCAGCTTCGTCACGCTGGCCACGTGACCCGGAAGTGTCTTTGGACGGCGCCGGCTCCCGGCCTCTTAAGTGAAATGAGCGCACAACCCTAGAGTCGGTCACGACTGGCCCGTACGGGCAGGGGTACCTTTACCTTTAAGTTAGTTCTTGGTATGAGCTTTCGTGTGCATGCACACTTCTTCAGATACGGCAGACCATCACGGATACCTACCTCCACCCCCCATCATTCAGCCTGGACACTGAGGTCCAGCTTCTGGCAGTTCCCTCACTGCAAAAAGTGAGGTTACAGGGAATCAGGCAGAGGGCCTTCTTGGTAGTGGCGCCCACACTGTGGAATACCCTCCCATCCAATATCAAGGAAATGAACAACTACCTGACTTTTAGAAGACATCTGAAGGCATCCCTGTTTAGGGAAGTTTTTAATGTTTGAAGTTTTATTCTGCTTTTAATGTTCTGTTGAAAGCCGCCCAGAGTGGCTGGGGAAACCCAGCCAGATGGGCAGAGTAGAAATAATAAATTATTATTATTACTATTACTATTATCAGGTCCCTTCGCCCCGCCCCAATGAAATATTTGAGGGGGCTGCCCCTCCACAAAGCTGATGGACATTGCCATTCAAACGGTGTGCATGTGCCACATCTTGTGATCGATTGTGAAGGGTGGGGCTTACTTGCCCCCAGTACTTCTTTAAATAGAAAAATAGTTGCCGGTCTTCTTTATGAAGTTCTTACAGTAAGTGCCACACTTTTGACAACAAAAAAGAGGTGCATACCCACGAGTACCCCCTGGAAAAAGCACACTGCCTGCCCCCCCATATTTTATTCAAGTTGGCACCTCTGATCAGAGCATTAGATCACAACCTTTCATCAACCTGTGTGTGAAGTACGTTGTCTAACTTTAGGGAATGGAAGCTAAGTGAACTGGATTCTTATAATGGCTAATTATTTTCCTATTTGGGGTCCATACAATTGATTGTAGGAGACAGCTGCAACAATTAAAATGCTATGTCCCAAATCCGAATCAGGTTACAAGCACTTGGTTTCATTGCAGCTGAATCAACTGAATGGTTTCAGGAAGGGAGGGAGGAAAGTAAACAAAAACACAGTGGGAGAGTGGAAAGGAAGAGCTCTGAAAAAGTGGCATGGAGTTGATATCATGGACCAATGGACCCAAATGATAATACTATGCCACACACATTGAAGGGTGAAAGTTCTTGCCAGAGACTGTCTGTCTCTAATTAATTATACCACTCAACCGCAGTTCTGCAACCTGTATAACCTGCAGTTCTGTTGTCTGATATATTAATTGGGTTTTCATACTGATTTTCAAAATTCTAAGCAAGTCATAGCTTACTTTAAATTAATAACTAACCATGACCATGAATTAAAGGAACAGGTGTTTTTCCACAGTAGCTGGTTAATCACTGCTTGAGACTGGAACCGTATGAGAACAGATGGTAAGGATTTAAGCAAAAGGACAGATGCATTTATATTGAAGAGCTTGGAGGATAAATCTCTAGAATTCTTGTGGCAGACACAATCTTTACTTTGTTTACTTAAAATGGTGATCCATTGCTATGTACAACTGGCAAGAGCGGTTGTCTTTGGAATCTTGCCTTTACAGATAGTTCATAAATCCTATTATACATCATTCTGTTAGTCCACTATGTATACAGCGTATGTCTTCAGAGATGCCCTCTCTCTGCAACTTTCATAAAAGGATCAACATAATAATGGTAGTTTTCAACATGCAAGTTTGTTTGACAACTATTTTTCTGTGGGGCATTATTCACAAAAGTAACACAAGGCCAATTTGTTATATATTCTGGGCACAAACAGCCCTCATGGGTGTCATGTGAAAATATGTTGGTTAGACATACACTTGATGGCAGTGAACTCATTACTGAGTTGATAGCTGATTCATGCATGTGTATTCATCAGTTGCAGCTAAAGATGGGGGAGAAATCTGACTCAATCCACCTTTTAAAGGTACCCCTGCCCGTACGGGCCAGTCTTGTCAGACTCTAGGGTTGTGCGCTCATCTCACTCTACAGGCCGGGAGCCAGCGCTGTCCGCAGACACTTCCGGGTCACGTGGCCAGCGTGACAAGCTGCATCTGGCGAGCCAGAGCCGCACACGGAAACGCCGTTTACCTTCCCGCTAGTAAGCGGTCCCTATTTATCTACTTGCACCCGGGGGTGCTTTCGAACTGCTAGGTTGGCAGGCGCTGGGACCGAACGACGGGAGCGCACTCCGCCGCAGGGATTCGAACCGCCAACCTTTCGATCGGCAAGCAATGCATGTGTATTCATCAGTTGCAGCTAAAGATGGGGGAGAAATCTGACTCAATCCACCTTTTAATTCAAGCCTAATTTGCATTCCCCCAAACCATATGGGAAACTAAACACAACTTTTCTCCGAAATTTGTATTCTCCAGATTTTGCAGTGCAGTTCTCAAACAAAAAGTGCGCAAATATTACACATATATTAGGAGTATGGAGTTGACTTTTGGGGAGCAGAGATGGCTGACTAGTTTTCGGCTGTCAGCGCTTTTTTTTTCTGTGAGCAGAAAAAATTATGATAGCCAAGATGAAGATCTTTGTGTCCCACTCCCTCTTTGAAGATAGGGAGATAAGGGATAACCTTACATGACCTGATGGAAGCCATTCTCACACCTGAGACAATAAGTTTCAGATGCGGAGGATGGTCTTAGAGAGAGGAACCCCCATTGTACCCAGACATGACACAAAAGTTCTCAGTGTTAGCCTTCAGGGCATCAGATCAGCAAAAACCTTCCTTATTTTAACTGTTTTTGAGATGGGAAGCAATTACGACTTGGGTGATCTATCTGCCAATTATTACCCAGAAGGCAATTTGGCTGTTGGCATAATAAGAGGCATTAATTAACAGGCTGAAAACCAAAGCAAAAAGCTTAATTACTGGTGATTAAGAAAGTGGGTAAAACCTCAGCGCCTAGGACTTGCCGATCGCATGGTCGGCGGTTCGAATCCCCGCAGCGGGGTGCGCTCCCGTCGTTCGGTCCCAGCGCCTGCCAACCTAGCAGTTCGAAAGCACCCTTAAGTGCAAGTAGATAAATAGGGACCGCTTTCTAGCGGGAAGGTAAATGGCGTTTCCGTGTGCGGCTCTGGCTCGCCAGAGCAGCGATGTCACGCTAGCCACATGACCCGGAAGTGTCTTCGGACAGCGCTGACCCCGGCCTCTTGAGTGAGATGTGCGCACAACCCCAGAGTCTGGCAAGACTGGCCCGTACGGGCAGGGGTACCTTTACCTTTACCTTAAGAAAGTTTACAAATGGATAAGGATGCTCTGGTTTGCCAAATACCTTCATCTTCTATTACTGGTACTTTTAACTTTCTATCTGCGTGGTGCTAGTTATAAAAGTGAAACTGAATCCATTGGTGTGGGAACAGAATGCACTGTTTACTTAAAGAGACAGACGTAAGTTTTCAAGGCAGTGTTAAGGGGGAGACAAAAAGAACCCAATACAGTGGTACCTCAGGTTAAGTACTTAATTTGTTCCAGAGGTCCGTTCTTAACCTGAAACTGTTCTTAACCTGAAGCACCACTTTAGCTAATGGGGCCTCCTGCTGCTGCCGCGCCGGCGGAGCATGATTTCTGTTCTCATCCTGAAGCAAAGTTCTTAACCTGAAGCACTATTTCTGGGTTAGCGGAGTCTGTAACCTGAAGCGTATGTAACCTGAAGCGTATGTAACCTGAGGTACCACTGTATGAAAAAGACACTGTTGAACACCTCACTGATTGTTGGTATAATCTGGCAACTATTGGATGAGCAATTGAAAGAGCTCAGAGCTGAGATGCTAATCTGGGGAAACATTGTGTTCATATGTTGGGAATAGAATAAGCAGGATTTACTTCCAAGCAAAATGAAACACTGATTTCAGCAGGAGACATGCCAGGCTGAAATTTGGCTAAAGTGTGCCCAAAGTGAGATGCTTAACTACAATTTCCCCACCTCAGTGAAAATACATCTACATTTGAGATGGCTATGTACATATTTTTGACACAGAATGTGCCAATTTTTATTTGGCCAATCTTTGTAGTTTCCAAAGTCTTTTTTAACAGGTGTTGAGAAAATTTCCATCCAGTTATAATATTGCATTGCTTATATTAAGTGTTTAAATGCCACAAGGCATACAAAACATATGGTAATACAAGGAGAGACTCAAAAAAGGGAAACACCTTAGGTATTTTAAAATTAAAGAGGGGCAACACGAGATAAAATTTTAGCATTCTAATCTATGTAGGGTACTCTGAGCCTTCTTGGGCTAAAAGGCAGACTAAATCCAAATGAAAGTAAACGTAGACCACTTCCAGAAAAACCTGTATTGAATTGTTACAATTATCCCTCACCTCAATATAATATTTTTAAAAAACTGATTATGGCAATATCATCTATTTTTTTAAAAGCCAAAACACTGGTGGGGCAATATATTTTCCTAATAGCATGCTAACAAGTCTGTCCAAAATGCCTGTCATTTTTTAATAAGTAGAATGTACTAAGACATTTCATTAAAACAAGGAAAGCATTTCGGTCTCATCACACCCTATTGTAATTTCTAAATCTTAAAAACAACAAAAGTATATAGCTCTGTATTTTAGCCTCATTATTTTTAAACTTTATTAATGGTTCTAGGAAAACACTATTTATGGACTGTACACACACACACACACACACACACAAAATACGATGTAAGCTGAGCCTGCTAGTTTTATTAGCACTTCACAAGTGGAGCAGTGAATCATGAGGCACAATTTAAAACAACTTGTTATCTTGAGGGTAATGCGATGTAAACGCAGTTTAGGGTTGCCATACTCCAGGTTACAAAAACCCGGACACATTTGGGGCACCCCTACCCACCATCCCACATCTCTGCCTCCCACCCCTTCCGTGCCTCCAATACTTTCTCGCTTGCCCCATTCCCATCTAACCTAACATTCTCCAGTCATCCTCCTCCATAGCCCTCCGGGAACGTTGGGAGAAGTGGAGCGGCACTCTGGGTGCTGCAAGCCAGGTGCTGCCTTCTGGAAGGCCAGGCCAGCCTTCCAAAGAATGTCACCCCTGGGTACGCCACCTGCCAGCGACTCCCAAGCCTCCCCTGACCTGTTGAAATGAAAGAGGAAGGCCGCCGGCAAAGCTGCGCCACACTGCTGGCACCGCTTTGCTGGCGGCCTTAACCCCCTCGTTTCGACAACTCGGGGGAGGCTTGTGAGTTGCGGGCAGGTGGCGCACCCAGGAGTGACATTCTTTGGAAGGCTGGCCCAGCCGAATGTCACCCCTCTCAGCGATGGCACCCAGGGCTGTTGTGCGTGGACGATACCTCATTTGCCCGCACAACCAGCAAAATGAAAAACGGCAACATCTTCTAGGGAGAGCACTTTGAATTCTTTGGCCTTCCACCTGCCCATAGCATCACCGTCCACATCTATAAAGATTTTGAAAAGAAGAAGAAAAAGGACAAGAACAACTATGTGGGTCTGGTCAACATCCCCATAGCTGCTGTGACTGGTCGGCAATTCGTGGAGAAGTGGTACCCCATCAGCACTCCCACGCCCAATAAAGGGAAGACAGGTCCATCCATACGGATAAAATGCCGTTACCAGACTATAACCATCCTCCCCATGGAGCAGTACAAAGAATTTGCAGAATTTGTGACCAACAACTACACAATGTTATGCTCTGTTCTGGAGCCAGTCATCAGTGTCCGGAACAAAGAGGAGATGGCCTGTGCTTTAGTGCACATTCTTCAGAGCGCTGGCAGAGCCAAGGTACCCCATCAGCACCCCGCCCACGCCTAGTAAAGGGAAGACAGGTCCATCCATCCGGGTCAAGTCTCGCTTAGCATCCTTCCCACAAGACGAAACTTGGCCTCCTCCTTTTTGTTTCTCTCCCCAGCTTCCTTAAATGCGAGCTCAACATCTGCAGGGAGAAAAGGGAAGCTCAGTTTCAAAGAAAGATGTAAGAAACAAGGCGAAGGTCGAGCTTGCAGCTTAGCTGAGAAAGACCTCAACAAGGTCTGGAACACACACAAAAATTAAAATAAATGGTTTTTATACTATAATAATAATAATAATAATCATAATTTATACCCCGCCCATCTGGCTGGGTTTCCCCAGCCACTCTGGGTGGCTTATTACAAAACAGTAAAATACAATAACCTATTAAACATTAAAAGTTTCCCTGAACAGGGCTGTCTTAAGATGTCTTCTGAATGTCAGGTAGTTGTTGTTCTCTTTGACATCTGATGGGAAGGCATTCCACAGGGTGGGCGCCACTACCGAGAAGGCCCTCTGCCTGGTTCCCTGTAGCTTGGCTTCTTGCAGTGAGGGAACCGCCAGAAGGCCCTCGGCGCTGGACCTCAGCGTTCGGGCAGAACGATGGGGGTGGAGACGCTCCTTCAGGTATAGTGGGCCGAGGCTGTTTAGGGCTTTAAAGGTCAGCACCAACACTTTGAATTGTGCCCAGAAACATACTGTGAGAAACATACTGTGAACATACTTTCAAGACCGGTGTTATGTGGTCTCGGCGGCCGCCACCAGTCACCAGTCTAGCTGCCGCGTTCTGGATTAGCTGTAGTTTCCGGGTCACCTTCAAAGGTAGCCCCACGTAGAGTGCATTGCAGTAGTCCAAGCGGGAGATAACCAGAGCATGCACCAATCTGGCAAGGCAGTCAGCGGGCAGGTAGGGTCTCACCCTGCGTACCAGGTGGAGCTGGTAAACAGCTGCCCTAGACACAGAATTGATCTGTGCCTCCATGGACAGCTGTGAGTCCAAAATGACTCCCAGGCTGCGCACCTGGTCCTTCAGGGGCACAGTTACCCCATTCAGGACCAGGGAATCCTCCACACCAGCCCGCCTCCTGTCCCCCAAAAACAGTACTTCTGTCTTGTCAGGAGTACAGTGGTACCTCGGGTTACATACGCTTCAGGTTACAGACTCCCCTAACCCAGAAATAGTACCTCGGGTTAAGAACTTTGCTTCAGGATGAGAACAGAAATTGCACAGCAGCGGGAGGCCCCATTAGCTAAAGTGGTGCTTCAGGTTAAGAACAGTTTCAGGTTAAGAACGGACCTCCGGAACGAATTAAGTACTTAACCCGAGGTACCACTGTACTTGTCTTTTATACCAAGGGAGTTTATAAACCCGGACACATTGGGGGGCCCCCCACTCCACCCATCCGCCCCCATCTCCGCTACCTTTCTCCAGTCCTCCTCCTCCTCAGCCCTCCGAAGCGAGCGCCCGGCCTCCGCTGCTTCTCTCTCTCTCTCTCTCTCTCTCTCTCCGGGGCCGTTGGCGGCCTCCATTGTGACAGTTAACGCCTCGCGGTGGGAGGGAGCTCTCTCGCGGCAGCGACCAATCGGAGCCCGCTTTTCCTTAACGCCGCCGGGGCCGCTCGCGCTCACAAGCCTCTTAAAGGGGCCTTAACAACACGGGCCGGACAGGATCGCGCCTGCGCGCTCCCTTCTCTTCTCCCGCCCTCCCGACTTTCCCATCCAGCAGAATTCCAGGAGGGAAAGACAGGCGCGCGCGCGCATGCGTCCCTCTCTTTCCCTCCCTACCTTGCGCGGGCGCGGGAGAGCGTGCGCGTGCGCGCGCCGGGAGACGCCTCCTCCTCCCCCTCCTCCTCCTCCTCCTCCCTCCCCTCAGAGGATAAGCGGCCGCCGGTGCTGAATGAGAGCGGCTGAAGCGAGCGGGCTGAGGCGGGCGAGGAAGGGAGGGAGGCGGCGGCTAAGCTCGGGCCGGGCAGCTGGGCTTCCTCGCCGCGTCCCGCGTTCGCTCTGCCCGCTCCTCTCGCGTCTCGTCAGCAGGTGAGTCGAGGGCGGCGGAGGCGGCGGCGTGTGGGCGAGCAGCGCCTTCCCTCAGCCGGCCCCGGGGGCGCCTCGCCGAGGCCCGCAGGGATGGCCGGGCGGCTGCTGCTGCCGCCGACGCCCACGGCTCCGGCGGCGCCCGCCCTCCTCCCCCTCCCCTCCGTCCCCTTTCGCCTCCACGCCGGGCGGGGGTCTCCTTCCCGCCGCGCCTCCATTGAACTCCTCCATTGGGCTCCATTCAACTCCCTTTCCTGTGTCGCGCCCCCCCTCCGGCTCCATTGAACGCCTCTCTGTCACCCACCCACCCATTATTTGCCCAGCGAGCGCATGCTCTTCTTGCAACGCCTCGGGGGGCGGGGGGCGGCGAAGAAGAGGAGGGTGGTTGGGGTCTTTGAGGAACTTCCCACGCCTTGCTTGGCATCTTGTGTTTCGTACCTGACTTGACCACGTTGCCAAGTTTATCCGAGCTCTCTCTCCCATCAGCTGCAAAGGAGAGGTGCACAGACACAAGTCCAGAGCGAGTGTTGAGTCGCTTACCTTGCACGCCTATCAAGTGAAGCCTGATCCAGCTAAAATGGTCACAGCAAAGCCTAGGACTTGGGACTCGTTAAACTCCAATTTAGGGTTATACTCTTGGTTCAGTTCTGTGTGCTTTTCTACTCTTATGTACTGTCACATTGGGCGGGTTGTTGGCCTTGCTGAGTTTGGCCAAAAATCTAATGCAACCAGCAGTCTTCTTTTCTATGTACTGAGGATGCATGTGTAAAATAAACACACTTGTGCATTCTACCTACTCACTCACCCACCCGCTTAGGTGCCTTGTCATGCATCTGTTAAACTGGACTCTGGCCTATGAAATCTTAGGCCAGAATGAATTGATTTGCCTTTAAGATGCCAGAGGAATCTCTTACCCGTATTCTGTTGCTCTGCTCTGTTTTGGAGCAGGGTTAGAACTTGCCTTCCCTTAATTTGTGTTTAATTAAAGCATACATGTGCATGCCTGGAGCTTTCTCTATTCTGCATGGACTAGCAGGCTTGCTGGTTCTCCCCTCTCCTTACCATGAGATATTGTCATTCCTATTCCTGAGCTTGAGGTGAGTCACAGCTCTATCATCCGTGTTAACTATGTAGGAGGTGAGGGGTTTGGATATGTCATGATAGGAGTGCAGCCTCCATCCAACCCTCCATGGAAAAATTGACCAAAAGAGTATTGCCATGCCTTTCAAAGGCAGAGTAACTAGTGGGATTTAGAAGCCATTCCAATTTCTCTAAGCTATTTGCTGTGCGGTAGCTATTTTTACTAGAGGATAATTTTGAATAAGAAGTGGCGAATGGTCAATCCCTGCTCAGTTGCTGTCTTGTCGAAGTGCACTTGTAGTACATTCGGTGCACTTCACTTCAAGCGTTCCTTCTGCTTCTATTTTGGCAACTGTGGGGTCTTCGTTGTATTACTGAGGGTTGAATTCGTTGAAGGGACCACAAGTTGCTAATACATAAGAGACAGCTGTAGCTGTAGTCTCAGGTAAATAGAAAAGAGAGAACAATTATATATTTTTTGAACTAGCTTCTGATTGTTTAATAAGTTTTGGAGTTATGTTTTGCAATAGGGAATTCTAAACGAATTTCCCACAGAAGCTTCCTTGATTTGGTGCCTTGACACCTTGCTTTTGAAGTGTAGGACACAAAGCACCAGGTGAAAACAATATGCTGCACTTGATTTGGCACATACCTATCCTGAAGAAATTGCCTCCACTTAATTTTGATTCACCTCGTTTTGCCAAGTAGATTACCAGGTGGAGCCTTTTTCACTCTGGCTACCAAACAGCTTTTTAGGTCAGTTGTCCTTAACTGGTACTGGAGAGATCCCAAAATACCTCATAGAACACCTTGCTTCGCCAACAAAAGTATCACCATTTTGTTTTTTCTCTGCATAACTGCACAGTAAAAGAGCAAAAGGGCCTGTTGGAACAGAAGCCATGTTTGGTTCTGCGCTTTTGGTGTGTGGGTTGTCTGGTTGGTTATACAGGCAGCACAGCATGAAAATGAGCACTCTCAAAATACAGGGCAACTAACTATTAGTGGGTTTTTGCACACCCAGTTCCCATGAGTATTGCTTTATTATTTTGGTACTTTTAATGGAATTTATATGAAACATTAAAGTATTATATGATCCCCCCTCCCCTGGTATCGTATATATATATATTCTTTTTCTGTCAGATGCTTGGAGACCTCCAGGTGACAAGCAACTAATAAGTCTAATAAATGAAATGTAGTGGAGCTGAGCAGCTACAGAGAGCAATGGAGATAATGGAGGCTCTTGAGACATTAGCAGTAGTTGTTCTGGAGGCTGAAGATTAGCCCACTAGACCTCTATCTTTCACACAATAAGCAGGATGTGTGAAGTATGGGAGGACAGTGGCTTCTCCTCAAGCATGTGCTCTTTAATGCACCAGAGTGATAAGCTTGAATTTCCTGAATTTCAGTGCATGTGTCAGGACAGAGTGTCGTTTTTAAATATATGTGCTTTAATCCTTTTAGTAAAATATTCCCAGAGTGACATTACTTTTAGTGATTGAATACACAACCACAAAATAATAGTTATTCCATATGAAATAATACAGAATAATGGAATGTGGTTCTGTGTAGGTGCCCTTTATATTTTCTTCTTTCTCACTTGGTGATTGTGTTATTGTGTGTGAATAGCGGTAAGGGTGTAAAAATTCTACCCACAGCAGTGGAAGTGTTTTTAACAAAACTCCTTCTCCCAGTATAGAGTGAGAAATACATTACTGTACTTACAGGATAGAAAGCAAAATTCAGCATGGATGAGAACTGGTGATGTGTGCTTTCAATGATGTTTATATGTAGGTATTGGATGCCTGAGGTGAATGAACAGGTTTGAACATATCACTGTAGGGAAAACTGCATCAATTGAAACTTGCATCAGTGGAACTTGCATCTTTGTGTGGGATTATTGGGGCTTGTGCTTTTGTGACTGGGATCATGAGGTACATGCAAAATATTTCTGGGTTTGGATTAAAGTATCCTTATTTAAGAACCTGGTGCAGCTCCCTCTGTGGGAAAGGCACCAGGAATTGCCACCCACCTGCATATTGGCACAGGTAGACAAAAGAACCTTCTCTTTCTGTTCAGACTGGTAAGGTAAAGGACCCCTGGACTGTTAAGTCCTGTCAAAGGCGGCTGTGGGGTTGCGGTGCTCATCTCGCTTTCAGACCAAGGGAGCCGGCATTTGTCCGCAGACAGCTTTCCGGGTCATGAAGCAGGTGCACCGGGGTTACAGTTCTGACAGCAAAGATAAAAGCATGAATGAGAATGGAAACTGGAGCTCGGCACCAGTTTCACTGTCATCATCCACCCCTTCCCATGCTGGGACTAGGAAAAGATGCTGAGGAGCTGTTACCTAGTGCTTTTGAAAAGCAGAGGTCAGCCAGGTTGGAGAGAATTGAAGTTGTGCAAATGCCTGTGCATCATCAAAAGGGGGAAAGGCTACTTTGAAGGCTACTACTGGGGAATTTGGATCACTGTGTTTCCACTAGAAGCAGCAAGCAGCTTGCATAGTGGGCAAAGAAACATTCATTGGAGTAGTGCCTTTGGGCATGACCCCCAAATCTGCCATTCATTGCTGCTGTCTCAGGAAAGGCATTCTTCTGCAAAGGGCATCAGTTTCCACAGAAAGTGACCACCATGGCAGGAGTGCTGCTGCTCATGTTGAATTGTCTTCACTGACAATGCTACGCAATGGCATCATTGAACCATGATCACTACTGCTTCTAAACTCTCCTCCCGTGTTGTCTTCCTTGGCCTCTTGGTCTACATTCCCCTTTTGTTTTTGTTCAGTCTTCCTGTTGTCTCCTAACTCTTAGTCTGTCTACACCAGCACAACCAGCCAGTCTTGCAAACCCCACAGATCACAGGGAGGCTGAGAATGGTGCATTTTAAGAACTAGCAGGGTGGTGGAGTGTGTGTAAATATTGAGCTGAACTGGGGTATTCGAATTCTTAACAATTTGGTACTAAATTTGCAGTTCCAGTTCTAATATAATAAATACAGAAATGAGTTTCTCTTCATTCTCCTATTAGCAGCTTTAAAAAAACCAGTTCACAGAACTTCACCCTTGATTCTGAAGGGGGTTTCGTGGTTCAAATTGGGAGGTATAAATAAGATGTGACTATTTGGAGAATATGATGTTGAAAGAGGACTGTACAGTATGCAACTGATTGATGCCACACCATAATAGTAGAGTATTCTAGTTTGGTTACAATAATCAACCACCGTTGGAAAGGGATCTATAGGATTTACGTAGCTCTGAAAAGTTTGTACAGAAGGGATGAGCTCTGTGAGTATGTGTGTATGTGATTGTATAAAGTTGTGTCAACACAAGAATGGGTTATCAAGAGGCATGGCCTCCTAAGGCACTGGACTCCCATCATCCCAAGCCAGTCTGGGTCAGGGATGATGGGAGTTGGGAGACCCGCAACATCTTGAGAGCCACGGGTTTCCCACTCCTGCCCTAAAGTAAGATTATGGTTCAAAATATATACCGTATTTTTTGCTCTATAAGACACACCAGACCACAAGATGCACCTAGTTTTTGGAGGAGGAAAACAAGAAAAAAATATATTCTGAATCTCAGAAGCCAGAACAGCAAGAGGGATCGCTACGCAGTGAAAGCAGCAATCCCTCTTGCTGTTCTGGCTTCTGGGATAGCTGTGCAGCCTGCATTCGCTCCATAAGACGCACACACATTTCCCCTTACTTCTTAGGAGGGAAAAAGTGAGTCTTATAGAGCAAAAAGGGGACGCGGGTGGCGCTGTGGGTAAAAGCCTTAGCACCTAGGGCTTGCCAATCGAAAGGTCGGCGGTTCGAATCCCCGTGGCGGGGTGCGCTCCCGTCGTTTGGTCCCAGCGCCTGCCAACCTAGCAGTTTGAAAGCACCCCCGGGTGCAAGTAGATAAATAGGGACCGCTTACAAGCGGGAAG